CAGTGATGAGAAAAAAAATATTTTTGTGGAACTGTTGCATGGCCAATATCAAATGGAATATATTTACCGTGTTTCAAAATAATATATTCATCTATGAATTCCTTATAGCGTAAAAATAATTGTTCGTCCCTGAGGAACCTTCTTTCAAGAGAATAGAAACGTTGAGCTGCGGAATTGTATGAATCACCAAGCAGTGAAACATCGCTTTTGTGTTTGAGAGGCAAATTGACTTGAAAGGAACCATCTGTCAAATGCTTTGTCGTTGTAGAAAAAATACTTTCACATATTTTCTCTTCTGTGCTCAAGAATTTTTTATATGGATATTCTTCCAAGTGCCAAAATTTCGGCATGATTTCATCAATGTCTACGCTTGATGAAAATAGTGCAATACTGAGGAGAGAAGAAGTCTCTATAGGAACTGGGCCACCAATAATCCACCCCAAATGACTATTCTGGAGAGTGGGTAGATTCGGTCCCAGTTTGATGATACCTGGGGTAATAATATCAAAATATATATCTGAACCAATCAACATATCAATTTGAGCAGGAATATTAAAGTCATTATCTGCTAAATCGATATTTTCTGGTAAGGGCAATTTACTATCGTCCACTCTGATATGAGGGAGTTCACATGTAATATTATCTAAAATAGCACAGACAACTTCAACTTTGAATGTGTTTTCATTGAAAGACCGCATGTTCAACTTTACCATTCGGTTTACTCTAGTTTTATTGTTAGCTATGCCAGAAATTTCCATTACATACTTTTGAGCTGATATTCCCAATTTTTTTAATATTCTTGAAGTTAAAAAAGTGGTCTGCGATGCAGAATCTAATAATGCGCGGGCTATAACCTTGTTGCCGTTTTCAGCAACCAATAAAACTTTCGCAGTGGCTAAAAGTACTTGTGAATTATTTTGTGATATCATACAAGCATTTTCTATAGTGGGTTGAGATTGAGCATGATTTTCAGAAATATTTGTGGTCAGAACAGTCTCCTTGTTGTGAGAAGAAATACCTGAGGATACAAGTTGATCATAGTCATTATTAAAAGATCTGGTTTCTGAATTACCAGAACTTCTTGGTATTGCATAACATTCATGTAGCAGTGTGTGATGTTTTTCGTTACAAAATCTACACTTGAAAGATGTACATTGTGCCACCGAATGTTTAGAACCAAAACAGTTCAAACAAAGACTGTTTTTAATGACAAATTGCTTACGGTCAGCTGCGGGTGCTTTTGCAAATTTGAAGCACTTATATATTGTATGATTTTTTAATTTACAGAACAAACAACTTTGAGAGTTTGCTGAGGTGTGTGGTGTATGATTTGGAATGGGTTTAGTTTCATTCGCAATATGAGAATACCGAGTAAACTTAGGTTTAATTTCAATGCTAGAGCTAGTTGATAATGCTTCCATTGTGGAGCAGCGTTTTTCCAAGAAATTAAGGAAATCTTCTAAATTAGGGAGCACATCAGCATCTCTCTCATGTTCAAACAATTGTCTTGTTTGATAATCTAAATTTTTTGTATAAATGAATATCAATAGTAAGTCCCAATTTTCTACTGGAACCTGGAGTGCTTTCAAAGAATTCAAATGTTTATTTATCTGGTTAATAAATTGTCTCAATAAACCACTATTATTTTTGGTTATTTGGGGGACTTCAAGAAGTCCTTTTATATGAGCGTTTATTATCAACAATTTTTTATCGAAGCGTCTCTTCAGTAAATTGAATGCTACAGAATAATTATCATTGGTGATAGACAAATTGTTAATTATATCCAGTGGTTCATTTTTGAGAGAGGATTTTAAGTACATGAACTTCTGAACATTATTCAACTGAGAATTATCGTCTATTAATGCTGAGAATAAATCTAAAAAAGCAGGCCATTCCTCCATCCTACCTGCAAAGACAGGTATATCTAAACTAGGTAATTTCACCTGAGAACTAGACATGGGCGGGATAGAAGAGTGCATAGATCTATTAGTTTGTGATAAACTGATTCGATTGTATTGTTGAATACGAGATTTGATTTTTGCTAATAAAGTACAATATTTTGTTTCGATCTCTACTCTGTCTGCTTCCTGAGTATCATCCGCGTCTTCAATTTCATCTTGATATGTAGTATAATCCTCAAAAGCCCTAACAAGCTGAGTTTCCCTTACAGTAAATTCATTTATATCTACATCGGGGTTAAGTTCATTATCAGCGAGAAAATTTTCGATTCTTGTGATAGCGGCTTTGGAGCGACCTCTTCTTCTGATGATAGTCTCCATTTTTTACAAGAACAATACGGGATTTCAATGATAAATTGATCGCACTTCCACTAATTTTCATAAAATGCTATGAATCTGAAGAGTCTACTACTGGAACAATATATTACGTCGATGCCGTTCAATAAGAGCAAACTGAGGAGAATCGACGAGGTATTTGATTATTATGGAAAGATCTAACCTTTGTCATCCGTCCATGTGTACCATACAATTATTTATGTGGTATGAATCAGCGAGGCGAGATTGCGGGATTCAATTGCAGCTATTCTTCTGCGAGAGTTTCTTGGGGGTGCAACAGGGATGTTGCTATGGGAGTTTTGAATAAGCTGTTTGAGTGTGCAACGGGATTATTTCTCCGACTACTTCTTGGGAATCTTGGGGTGCAACGGGAATATTGCTGCAGAGTCACCAGTCCAATGGATCCGTAAATCGCTCTTCCAAATCCGTGTAGAAGGACCAAAATGTGGGGGGTTGTTGTTGAGTGGGGTTTTCTTTGAGTAATGGACTGTATTTTTATGTTATTTTATTGAACTGGTCACATACATATGAGATATGATGAGAAAAACTCAGCGTGAATATCTGACAGACAATGTCATAATTAATTTATTGATTCTCTCAAAACAAACTATCGAAACCGTAACTAGGTAACAGACAGAGTAATCGAATCTAGATCACTGCTGATACTGATGCCAAATCAACTAAAAAGTAATAATATTTATGGAATTCGAACATCCAGCAAAACTGTTCTTCTTAACCGATTAACTACATTGAAAAGGAATATTCTCAGATAAATTATGAACATGAAAAAATGAAAAAAAATGGATATACATATAAATACAATGAGAATTCGCATTCTCTATGTGATAAAAATATCAATTCTCTCTCGGTTTATTCAACAGAAAACAACTACTTTTTGCCAAATCGAACATTGAATTATATCTATGAACATCCAAAAAAAGAGCATGAAAAATTAAAATCCAGTTTCAAAGGATCTAGAGCTAGACTGCACATTGTCAATTAACACATATTGGCTTCAATGAGAACGACAATTACGTAATAGTTTGACTAACCCTATCAGAAAAGCTATATTAGTTTTTTTTTACCAAAAGGAGTTATCTGCCTACAGTGTTGAATTGCAATTTTTCCCTCATTCATGGCTCATATGATATCATCCAACATTTTGGCCAATGCAGTAACTCAATAAAATAGCTATATAACTATAATGTTTTTCTACTCACATAACTAAAAAGGCATTTAGCGTACGGATACGTACCACGCTAAATGATCGATTAATAACGGATTGACGATCTGTGATTTATTCAAAATATTAAACACGTTACCATGGCAACATGATTTATTAAACACATTACCATGGCAACACAGTTCATTAAACACAGCTTCAGTAATTTGAGACATGTCTGGCCTGTCAAAAGTATCAACTGTCAAATGTCATTTTCGAATTTTGTATCAGAATTATTCAAAAAATATTTCGATTGTATCAGAATTTTTCATTGATAATATATGCGAAATGTATAATAAGAAAGTGAAATCGAAGATAATGTTTTGGTACTTGCGTATCTCCTAGAAGTGTAGAAATGAAGCATCCATCTTTGAGAACAATACATTTATTCTGCGCTAAGCATGGCAATAAACGTGAAACAAAGGTTAGTAAGCAATGGATTGGACACATCTATATACAAACAATATCACGTATACGTGTCCCGCTGGTTGCATGCATCAGTTGCATCTATTATGTTCTCAATTCCCATTCCTTTCGAATGATTTTGTAGGTTATCAGGAATAGCAGGTATGTTAGTGTAATTTTAGGAGTTCGAAGAAAAAGCATAGTATGTAACGCGTTTATAAACTCTTCTAGACACTCGTTTATTAACCACTCGTTACTAAAAGGACGTTTATAACACTTGTTACATAATATACTATTAGCTACGTCAAACCCTATATCTGTAGAAGGCCTATTGATATATCTATCTGATAGTGGTACAGGGACTGCCATTTAAAAAAATTGAGTCATTAGAGCTGCTATCTCGCTTTGTCACACTATTGGTCCAACCCCTTTGTTCATACGTCCATGGTCCAATCTGTATGTGGCTAGATGATGCCAGAATACCTCTTCCTCAGAATGAGGACAGAGAAATAAGATTGAGAATAAAGGATGCATACTTGAAGCCCTGAGTCAGCTGACCTATAACAAAGGAATAATGAAGGACAAGGCAAGAAAACAATATTAATGGACAAAATGATACAAGGTATTCGATAAAATTTGAGGAATTGAAAAACTTGTGGCAATTGTTTTTAGGACAACGAAATAAGTTTATCCTATCTTTTCCAGCAAAAAATCAACTCCTCCACAGAAAACGCCATTTGACGATCAGGATTCCCCATTTTTTTGTCGGGGGTAAATACATGATGTTTCATCGATAAATACATGATTAAGTGTATGAGAGTTTTATTGCCATTGTGAACAGTTGAATTTCATCTTTTTCATTTACATGCGAGTAAGAAACGAGTTCCTATATCCAAAGTAAATTTCAGTTTTTCTTTTTATGTTTTATTGATATTTTATTTGGTTGACGATGGGCTTATATAAGCATATACCTTCATGATTAATCTTTGATCACTCAAAATGAAAGTTGCGGAGATGACTTTCGGTTTCCATGTATTTGGGAACTAACTGATTGATTATGATATTATGGTGTTTTTCAGGACGATTTTTGAACGCTATTGTTCAAGGAAAACAGATACTCAACAACAAACTAGTGGAAACTTCTCAAGAAAGACAAGAAGACCTCACAATGAATTTGGAGAAACTTCTGAAACATTGTGCAAGTAAGTTTGAAGTTGTTTTTTTGCTAGAATGACGAAGCAACAACTATTAAGGATTGCGGCAAAAATTCTCGAGCAACTGAGCAGCCTTGCAACTACATAACTTTCTACACACCTCAAATTATCACAATCAACTTTTATTCTTCAAATTCCACCCTCTGATTTGTTTCTATGATACATATTATTACAATCGAATTTTTTATGAAGAAAACAACTACATACATAGCAAGCAGACAAACAATACAAATAGAAAAAAAAATTGAATATGAATTGCATGTTTCAAAAAAAATTTGAAAGTTTTATTGTGATTTAAAATGAAAAGCATGCCAATCGACTTTTGAACGATGACCAAGAGCTAGGAGTAAAAACCACTCCACTCATAAGAATGACATTGCAGATGTCTTATTCATTCGGCATTGTAATGGGAATAGTGCTTCTGCCGACCAAGAGTGGTTGCTTACTATTTGTTTTCATTGTTAATATTCATTCATTTATTCATCAAATAACTCCCTGACAGAATAGGATCTGGTATGAAGAAGTACATAATTATTTACCTATAGGCAAACATTTCATAATTCAAAATACATCAACAACATTAAATTGGTAAACAAAGAAATATATTTCTATAGAAAGCATATTAAAACAACCTTACTAAAAATTTCATTGAAATTATTTTTTGAATAAGATCCCCAAATATTTATCAAATAGTTGATGCGACCTAGTATATGAGAGTAGAGAATCATGTTGGCAATTTTGATGTCGAGTTTGGGAGATCTTCTCAATTCACCAATAGTTGTCAAAACATCAATATCTTTTTCCCACTTCAACTTTTCATCAAACCATATACCAAGATACTTTATCTGTTCAGTTTGTTTTGAGAGCAATTTTGAGATTGAGGTAACTTTTCTGTTCATTTTTTTGTTGGAAAATTATATATTTCGTTTTATTATTATTTAATCTACCTACCTCATTTTTACCAGGATGAAATTACCGCCAAAGTTATTGGAATTATGTAGTGAATCAAAAACTTAAGCGTCTGCTGGTGGATGCTACCCACTTTTTCAGACAGAAATGCCTAATAGTCGTTTTGACACCTTCAACAAACGATAGTAGGCATTGGAGATCTGAATATTTCAGATTTGTCTACATTTTTATACTGTTTTATGGCATTTTCGTTTCGGAAAATCGGTCGACACATTCCAAAATAGGAGGGTATCGCGTGTAGAAGTTGCAGACACTGTACATAAAGTAACAATAGCCGATTTTCACAAGAAAAAAATTTAAATCGTGATATTTTTTCATACGTTGGACTCCCAGTATCTCAAGAAAGTATTCATTCAGGACAAACGACGTTAATAAACACTTTTCACTCCAAAATGAAGAAAATAATCTGAAAACAAACTTTGTCGGTCTTATTCTGACTCACCCTGTATATATTTCTTTGATCGTCTGCCTCTAGGAAATTGACCGCCTGCCTCTAGGAAATTGACCGTCTGCCGACTTTCGCTTCATGCATTCCAATTGAGTGATTTTCTTCAAAAAAATTAGGTGCTTCTGGGGCGATTTTGGCACTTGTCCCGAAATTCGTAGCATTATTAAGCTATCACTCAACAACAACGAATGACCCACCTGCAATGTCATTCTTTTGGTAATTTATGTATGTATGTATGTAAAAGTTCTGCCGTACTGACAAAACATTTTTCTAGAGGTTGTTTTTTTTTTGTGATGAAGAGAAAATATCAATTCCTGTTTTTACATTCCTTCATAAAGGAGAATTATTCTGTGAAAACTTTGTTCGCCTAGAATGTGAGGACAATATATCCGAGGTATCTCTCTTGTTCGCATTTGTTTGAAATAAGGTTTGACCACGCTGAGTTGTTGGTTATGAAAAACTCCAAGATCATTGTAACATTCAGCCTCAACTAATTGTTCATTCATTACTTGATTGGAATTATTTCAACTATAGGCTGAGCTCGAGAAATTAATCAAATGAAACTTCAATCCATATTAACAGGCAGGAGCTGTTACAGGATGTTTCAAATTTTTGAATATAATAAATAATAAAACACCCTGTCACTTGCCCCTGTCGTACACTTCTGGTTGTAGCTGAAAACGTTGGTTTTACAAAATTCAGTAGGATGAATAGTATCTACACTTCCCGCCAATTATGACAATTATACATCAATAAGCTTCGAAGTACTAGGCGCAATTAATTTTTGTAATTTCAAATAAAACACCTTGTAACTCAGAACGTCAACACATTTTATCTAGGTGATGTGGGTTAAATCTTCATATTTTGAGCTCAGGATTTGATAGCTGAAATATTTCCAATTAGTAATGAAACACCCCGTATACAGGGTGTCTGGTTCCCCGACGTATATCTGAAAGGGGGTGATAGGCAAGAACATTTTGAACATATTTCACCATATTATATACTATTAGACTAAGTAGTACGAATGTTGAGATATCATTGTTGTCAAAGATGATGTTATCTTTTTTCCTTGGAAGTTGATATACATATTTCATCGGTTTTGAACTAAATGTGATAAGAAAATGATTTGGCTCGTTAAAATATTGAAGAAGGTTTTCTGTAACATCCAACTTCGTACTTATTAGCGATGATTTCTCGAAAAGTATAACACTTTATATATATGGTTGAATATGTTCAAAATCACATCATCCACCACCTCCTTTCAGATATACGCCGGTGAACCAAACACCCTGCATACTCTTAGATTCTATTCAGAGACGAACCACTGATTGGTATTGCCACACTCACTCATTCCTTGACATCATTGGAACCCACAATTGATAAGTTGATGGAATATAATAACTTTGTTTTTAATGTACGATCAGCCACAGAAATATCGGGGACCACCGTGTATATTATTTCTTCTTCTAACATCTTGCAAGGTGTTGCTGACTATTAGTGAGAAACTCTTTTGGGGGTTATGCGTTTCTGTTAGTGACAATTTGGAAGAAATCATTCTAATTTTTCTTAGCTACATATACAGTCAGAATCTCGGAAAGGGTAGGATTTACGAAGTCGGTTAAATGGGGAAAAGTTGCGCATTCGGAGGCTTAGCCTTCGAAAACTTTTAAAATTGTTGTGACGGGAAAAAAGTTTGGCATTTCATCTCTGTTGGCAGGTTATGAAATGTCACTTTTCATAAATTACTTTTTTCCCGTGGGAAAAAATGAGTACTTTCTTCCCGGATATATATCACATATTATTATATGTACACTGTTGATAGCTTTTGTTGTGCTATAGTTCGGAAAAATGAGTCAATAATACCGTCTCCGAGAAAGAACTGTAAGTCCTTTTATCTTCCATTCGACTTCGCGGTTACGTATATTACTAAACAACCACTAAATTCGCAATTTCTTGAAATCAAATCACAGAATTGAACTGACAGAAGTGACATAAGATATTTGATTACTTCAAAAGAATGATAAATATGCCTAAAGCGCAGGTGTCCCTACTGTTAAAAACTTGATATTCCACGTCGATAATTTTCAGATTTCAAAATAATGTAATATCTTCTCAATATTGATACGTCCTTTCTTCTGTCACAGAAAAAAATAGTGTATTATACACGGGAAAAATATTAGATTTTAGCTCACGGTTTTTTTTGTCTCCCTCCGCTACGCGTCGGGAGACAACACAACCTGGGGCTAAAATCGCATGATATAAATCGTTTTACATAAATAGTGGTTATAAGTTCGTTATAAATTACTGTTTCTATAGTTCAAATAAATCAGTTCGAAAATAAATAGTGTCGTGTTCGCTTCTGCACCCGAATAACGTAACAATATCTATTTTTTTCTTCCTTATTATTAGGGACACAGAAAAACTGAAAATACTTTTTCATAGCAACGTTTCGTATTCGTAGAACCATAATCAACTTTTGTTTTTTTAAATACACTCCTCATAATTTTTTTACATATTCTGAAAGCATTTTTCACTCTGAATTCAAACATGTATTATACAAGGTGATATGAATGTGTTTCGACCTATTTCTATCCATCATCAATGTTTTTTCGAAATTCCAAAGGAGAAGTGCCATCAGTTCCACTTATTTCTGATCACTTAGTGTCAAACATTGATGGATTAGTTATTCAATACTGAAAAGTGAATTGTTAATGAATTCTTTCACGAATTACTTTAATAACTTAACTTTGACAATACCAACAAAAACATTCATAACAAAGGTTCAAAATGATAACCATTATTTTCTAAACAAATATATCCTCATCACATTTGCTTCGAAGACATTACTTAGCATTTCTGGGGTTATACTATTGAATGCTTTGATGACACTGTCCCGTAGTTCTTCTTCATCATCAAAGTTATTGCGTTAACAAAGATTTTGAGGTATCCCAAAAAACAATACAGCGGTGTCAAATCAGGTGACCGCGCCGGCCAAGGGACTGTAGAATGAGTACCAATCCAATTTTCTGGATAAAACACACGAACTTCTCTGGAATTATGTACCGGAGTGCCCTCTTGTTGAAACCAACAGTTCTGAACTTCCGCAATCGGTAAATTATCCAGAGCTTCCTCAAGATGATTCTCAAGCAAATTTCTATACCGTTCGGAAGGCAATGTGTCATGGTAAATAAAAGGACCAAATATTGCAACACACATATATCTATGCACATATTAAAGCCGAAACGATGTCGGTGTCTCGCTGTCTTGTATAAATGTTCATTTTCTTGTGACCAATAATGTGTATTTTTTTCTATTGATGATACCATTATTAGTGACCATGCTTTCATCAATCAAGATGATTTTTCGAGGAAAATCATCAAAATGTTGACATTTCCTGGTATACCACTCACAGAATGTCATGCGCCTTTCGTCATCGCCTGGTCTTAGCGTTTGACATATTCTGAATTTGTATGGATGGCATTTTTTTACCGCAAAATGAAATGGGTTGTTGATTGGAATCAGTTGATGAGGTATTAGTGTGTTGACTAATTTTCTTTCAAAATGAGTGGGACTGATGGCATTTTTCCTCTGGAATTTCGAGAAAACGTTGATGATGGCTAAAAATAGATCGAAACACATTCTAACCACCTTGTATGATACATGGTTGAATTCAGAATGAACAAACTCTCAGAATCTGTGGAAGAATTATCAAGACCGTATTTGAGAAACAAAAGTTGATGATGGTTCAACGACTACGAAAAGTCACATGAACAAATCGGCATCACCACATTAAACGTCATTTAAAGTTGCTATGAAAAAGTATTTTCAGGTTTTCTGTATCTCTAATAATAACGGAGAAAAAAAAATGAAACAGATATTCGAAAATTCACTTTTTTCGATATTACTCAAGTATTTTCAGGTTTTCTGTATCTCTAATAATGGAAAAAAAATGAAATAGACATTCAAACATTCACTTTTTTCGATACAACTCATGAACTAAAGAGAATTTTGAAAATTCTCGAAGGCTGTTGATATGAGCCTCCGAATGCGCAACTTTTTTCCCATTTAACCGACTTCGTATCTCCTACCGTTTTCGAGATCCCCATACTGTGCAACCTCATCTTGGATAAACTGTAGATTGCAGTAATACTAATATTTTTATTTAGAAACGAGGAGAGAAAATTACAGAATATCTAGTGAATAAGTGAATTGAACATGAATCAAGAAAAAACATCATTAGTCTCACCTAATATTTGGTTCTGATAAATTATTAATTGTACGTGGATTTCAGAGGTGAGGATTGCTGGCCATACTACAGAGTACGTCAATAAAGTGTTGGACAAACTAAAGAATGGTGCCAGTACCACTGTGAGGATCAATGATGACTCATAGATCATCAGGACAAGATAAATTGGGAATCAAATCTCAAAGTGCATTTTCTGTGGTGAACAAAAGACAACATTCATTTATAATGTTTTTCCGATGCATAAAGGAAGAAGCAAGTCAATTTTCATTTTCGAGTAAAAATTACAGTTTGGTGTCTGGTTAATGAAAGGGCTGTGTTCAGTTCCATGATAGTATAAACTTATTTTTTGAAACAAATATACGATGATTAGGTATAAAAATGGAATGGAACATCATGAGAAATAATTTTAGGTTATTATGTGTCGTTTCCATCAAAATTGCGATACAGGGCTGTCAGAATTGATGGAAAACTATTACCATAGTTGACGTATCATCATATCTTGCACCTAATAAATGTTAATGAGCGATACATTTATGTATCAATCTTTGACCTTATATTTTCGACATCTCTGTTTTTTATGATTTTGCAAGATTTCTCAAATGCTTCACACATACTATCTATTTTTTTAGTATTAGAATCGAGTTTTTAGGAAAAATATTTCGTGTGTCACGTTTGCGAGATAGGTACTTGGATGCATTATATATCATACATTTAAAAAATGTGAGTGCCTTTTTTGCTCAGAACAGTACAAACAAGGTTTCCCACAAATATTCGAGGAGGTTGTTTATTTGCAAGAATATTACTAATCTTGAAAACATTGGGAACATGAACGAATTATAAAGATATGGTACCCGTTTCCAAGCTAGATGATTTATGAGATTTTCAAAATTTTACATTCAATGACTAAAGTACCCTGCTATTATGGTTGTAATGGTTACATTCAACTTCGCCCAGATAATTTTTCTTATGCATCAAAACATGGAATTGAGAATTCCAAAAAGCAGTTTGATCTTCGATTATCTTCGATCGAGGAAAGACGAGACATGATACTGAGTGAAAAATATTTGAAAAAAATTGAAAATTGAAAAACGTTTGATACACTATTGAATCGACATAATCTTGAACATCTGTGAAGAGAGGTCAAACTAGGGTCCCTTGATGCAAACTGAAGTATATAGCATCTAACAGGGTACAGACAGATGATAGCTCTTTTAATCATCTAGTGACTTTGGTTTCGTGTATTGGCGTCCCTGACATGGCATTGCTGTCACGTCACATTCATAGGCGTTAAAAGAGATCATACAAAGTTTTTATTTCATACTTTATCTCACATCATTCAATTCTGTTTTGGAAGGATGGTAAAATGTGCTAGGCTGTATCAATCAGTTAGATGGCAAATTTGAATTTGTCAGCTTTCCATCAGATGCAAATGAACTAAGAACATGGAAAGTGAAGTGACCGAATGGGGAAAATTGGTAAATACATCAGCAAAATATTCGAGGTAAAACTAATATGAAATCACATTTTATACTTTCTCATTGTGCCTATAATTATCCACTCCACAACTTTTTGAAGGCATTTTAGTAGGAACAGTTTTTATTAAAACGTAGGATTAAAAGAAGATGCATATGACCTACCATTAAAAAAATTATACCTACATTCAGGAAATATTAAGTGTTCGTGAAAAACTGCAGAAATGATTCCTAACATGAATATATAGAGCATGAGTACATTAATTTGAATACCTACATAACATTTTTCACCATTCCTCAACCATACGGCTTGGTCTGAAATCAAGATTCATTTATTGATAGGTACTGCCTAAGAACAGTCGGATTTAGTAAAACGTATTAAACTTTCAGAAAAATTTGCTCATTGCCTCACAAAGATTATGCTGGAGTTGAAGAATCTGAAACTCGAAAATTATCATCATCTGGATATAATATGTAGAGTTGAATGAGAAATTACTTATGATACGCCAATGTCCTCAATATAACCTAAAAAACAACAAATGTCTAGAAATCGAGTGCTTATCCCCAGAAATGAATAAAGATGGAACTATATAACTGTTTCACAAAGTGAAGTGAGTTAGAGTGAGAGGAGACAAGGATCTGTCCGTACCCTGCTAAGATGACAAATACGTCAATTTGCATCAAGGGACCCTAGGTCAAACTGTCTCCATCTTACTATGCTTTCTATTCTCAACTGGAATGGACTATGAATACCCATTATTCAACTGAACTTTTATTGTCAATTTATGTTTGATAAGATTACGAACCAGCTCTACAGGAATTACTCATAAAAGTAAATTCCTGCTGAATCTGAGATCTTGTGGTATACTATATTCACCTTGTGATAAGCAGATAGTTTGAGTCTAAATTCTCCCCCTTTCTATCCTTAACAAACTGGATGAAATAAAATAGTGAGAAAATAACTGGTTCTGGAACGTAATTTTTACTTGTCAGTGTCAATGAAACCATAAATATTCAAGAACACACCATATACGTATTAATAAACAATACGGATCATAACGGGTGCCAGGATGAAGCCAAAAATATGAAACAAATGAATATCCATAAGGATTTGGTGGCATGATACGCATGCGCCATGCGCTATTATAGTAGTCATCAAAGACATGCGTTTTGGTGGTCAATGACGTTTACTAGCCTTTCAATCAAAGCAGTATGTGTCTGATCGTTTCAAAACGTTTCCTTATGGATAGTCATTTGTCTTCAAAAATCGGCTTCATGTTTCGCTATGGAAACAGATAGAGATTATCCGTATTGATTATTAATACGTATATGGAACACACATGCATATAGAAACCAAAAATCGATAGTTTCAGTTTGTGACTTGGTGTAGTTCCAGGGCTTACCGCCTCTAATGACGAGTCAGTGATAACAATTTTCCAAATTGTCATGTCATTGTCATGATTGTTTTGTGATAATGAGAGTTTTGTTACTAAAGTTAGTTGGAACATAATTTATGCTCATGTTTTGATATGTTAAATTATGAAAAAAATGCAATTTATCACTGGACTCTCCTTCCATTAATTTATCTTATTCTAAAAGTACGGACACTTATCACAAATACCAATTATTCAATTTTTTGTCTAGATCATTTTGTGACATTTATGGTAACTGATAGACTGGCAATTTCATTCATGTATGTGTCAAGGCCGGTAACTAATATTCTATCGAATACCACACGAGAGCTCGACAAATAAGAAAATAATTCATTATTCCAAATTTTTTGGGATTTTCTCTCGTTTCTATAAAATAAAAATATGAATATTATTTCAATATACGTGTAGTAAGGACAAATCAGATGATTTGCCCCAAAATGTCACTGCGTTTAAAGAATTTTCCTATCAGAGAGCCTAAAAGAAAAATTCACTAGCTTGTCAGTGACAATTTGTATTGAAAAAATTTTTGGAGAAGGGAAATAAAGGTATATAGAAAAAATATCAAATTTTCACTCATCTTTGGACGTTTCGGGACCGGTTCTGCTCATGTTGAAAACAAAGATAAGTGAAAATTTGATATTTTTTCTATATACCTTTATTTCCCTTCTCCAAAAATTTTTTCAATACAAATTGTCACTGACAAGCTAGTGAATTTTTCTTTTAGGCTCTGATAGGGAAATTCTTTAAACGCAGTGACATTTTGGGGCAAATCATCTGATTTGTCCTTACTACACGTATATTGAAATAATATTCATATTTTTATTATATAGAAACGAGGAGAGAAAATCCCAAAAAATTTGGAATAATGAATGTACCACCTCCTCGATTAACCTACAGACAGTAAGAAAATAATTGTTCAGAATTTTTCCTAAACTTCTTTTCATTAGGCAATGGCCACTTGAGCCCTTCGGGTTATTGAGTATATTGCCTGACAACAATATTTCCTATTATTTTCAATTTATTCCCGCTCTCTTGTGATCATGTTGCATACAAAAAATGAGAGGATGTATCATTTAGGCAAAAAGTGTTTATCTATATAACGTGATTCAATGGCGGAGGGACGTACGTCAACAGTAGATAGGGATTATTGAAATGCTTCTGAATATACCATTGCTGGAGTCCAAAAACGAATTCAAACTAGGCAACACGGTCTATAACGAGAAATCAGAGTGCACCAAGAAAATCTAGATAGTCGAGGCATTTTCTTTAATTTCATTGACCACCGCCCAGCCATTTATTATTATTGACTATGTCTCATCCACTTGGAAGTTATGATTTTTTTCTGTAGAAACATTGCTGCCAACTCAGCCATTTTGCGGCTAGTTCTAGCCATTTTTGAACTACTAAAATTGCATATAGACATTTAGCAATCCTTTATTCTGACTTTTTATCAAAATATTTTCATGTTTATGAAATTCCCATAAATAGTTCATTATATTCACGATCTAACCTAAGTCGAATTCAGGCCAGCCTATACGTCTATGGATTTAGTACTCCATGCTTTGTGCCATTTTGACAAACTGACGGTGACGTAAATGATGTCAACACATTACGTCAAACGTCGACATTGGAAATATTAAATAAATAGTAATTTTAAATGTCAGATTCGTAGTTCATGGTCAGATTCCTTGGTTTTGCTAAAAAAATAGCAAAATATTACGATATTAAATTATATGAAGAAATAAAAATTTGAATACAACTCCGACGCCATGAAGCGGCTAAATGGAGTGTTTTGGTATGAAGGTAAGTTTGGATTAATCATCTCAGTTTGGTCTCAGGAGTCAATTGTATCATTTTGAACAGATGGCCTTTCAGGGACACCCTGTATAATAATAATTATGTCCGATATGCCAGAATCAATAAATTCACCATTATACCACCCGCATGAGTATTTAGGACCATCATTGGGGTGGCATGACAATTCAGTTTTGTTCTTCTCCACGTCATTAGACAAATAAAAAAGTTTGAAGTGTGGAGTAATCTGAAAATCAAATGTTGCGGGATTTCGGACTATATGGTTGCCTTTAGAGTAGGTATCTGATTCGAAAAAATATCTATATTTCTCTGAATAAGCTCTTCCATCAATCACTGAAACTTTTCGACAAAGTTTCTAGACAGTCTTTATAAATATTTATTTCGAATTTATCGAAGAATTTTATCCATTGTTACTCATTGATACTT